ATTTTTTGTAGTTTTAGTAGAGACGGGGTTTCACCATGTTGACCAGGATGGTCTCGATCTCTTGACGTCGCGATCCCCCCGCCTCGGCCTCCCAAAGTGCTGGGATTACAGGCGTGAGCCACCGCTCCCAGTGTCTCTTAAGGGGCCACTTCCAACCAGCACCTTACCCTCGCTCCCTGTGAAGGCTTCTCCCGAGTGTACCCTCTGATGTGAGCTGAGAGTGGACTTGCGGCTACTCGCCACACGTAAGGCTTCGCTCCCGTGGGTGTCCTCCAGTGTGTGTTGAGGACTCCCTTGCTGTTAAATCCCCATCCACATTCCCTACATACATAAGGCTTCTCCCCTGAGTGTGTTCTCTGACGTGACTTGAGTGTCGACTTCCGGGTAAATCCACACCCACACTCCTCACACACATGAGGCTTCTCCCCTGAATGTGCCCTCTGATGTATAAGGAGAGTGGATTTATCACGAAAGCCTCGCCCACACTCTCTGCAAACAAAAGGCTTCTCACCTGAATGTATCCTCTAGTGTTTGATGAGGCACGATCTCCTCACAAAGCTTCACCACAGTCCTACACACGTAAGGCTTATCCCCTGTGTGAATTCTCTGGTGCTGAATGAGGTGTGACTTGTTACAAATGCCTCACCCACACTCCGTGCACATAAATCGCTTCTCCCTTGCGTGTGTCCTCCGATGTGGGGTGAGGTGTGACTTGCGGCTAAAGGCTCACCCACACTCTCCACAGACGTTAAGGCTTTTCTCTTGTGTGCGTCCTCTGATGTCTGATGAGCTGTGACTTCTTGCTAAAGCCTCGCCCACACTCCCTGCACACCTGTGACTGTCTTTTGTCTGAAGATTTTTCCGCGATGACTGCCTTCTGTCTGAACAGGTTTGACTTCTGGCTAAAAGCTAGTGCATACTCTCCAAATCTTACGGCTCCAAACCCTGGGGTTTTTGCCCTCTTGGAAATTCTGTCTACTTCCTCAGAGCTTGCATCCTGGGCTGGACTGAGCTGTATCTCTAATATTCTATTGCCTCCCTGAGAGCTTATTGGTGGTCTCTGGAACAGGCCAGAGAAGCCCACTAAAGTCCCTCTCTCATTTATACTCCAAAACAAGGGTCTGACGCTTCCTTCCACTCGTTGATCTTTTGCTTCAGCTCCCCCTGTGATTTTTATCAGAAGGACGATGTGGCTGTGGCTGATCCTCCCTGCAGGGATTTCCTGGCTGGGTTGATTTCCTGCATAAAATCCTGGAATAGGATGACTGTGTAGCTCATCTTGGCTAAGGAATTGCTGACTGCCAAAGACCACAGGGCAAGAGGGACAGGTATGGACTTCTGGCTTTGATTCTGCTGAAGACAGAAAGTTCCCAGAAGAGTCACAGGAAGGGCTGACTGGGCTCTTGTTTTATGAAAAGACCTAGCCCATTAATCATTCTCAGTGATTAAAGTCTCTCTCCCCAAGATGTGCTGTGCAGGACCTATATTTCCATTCAACTTCTTCAAACTTTTGATTTGGAAATCATTTCAAATATACAGAAAAGTATAACAATATGAATAATACAAAGGGCCAGGAGCAGTGGCTCACGTCTGTAATCCCAACACTTTGGGAAGCTGAGGTGAGCGGACTGCCTGAGCTCAGGAGTTCGAGACCAGCCTGGACAACATGGTGGAACTCTGTCAAAAAAAAAAAAAAAAAAAAAATCCTTGTTTCCCATGATTAGATTAAGATTATGCATTGCACTCCATTTTTACATATTACATATTTTACTTTAATCCAAAAAAAACCCACAATCAAATCTATTCTATATATTATCCCAACAGAGAATCTTCCAAGTAGGCATCTGAGACATCCTCAGCTCTGTAAATATCTACAATTATACTAAAATTATCCTCTACCAGCCGGGCGTGATGGCTCACACCTGTAATCCCAGCACTTTGGGAGGCCAAGGCAGGCAGATCACCTGAGGTTGGGAGTTCGAGATCAGCCTGACCAACATGGAGAAACCCTGCCTGTACTAGAAATACAAAATTAGCTGGGCATGGTGGTGCATGCCTGTAATCCCAGCTTCTCGGGAGGCTGAGGCAAGAGAATCACTTGAACCCAGGAGGCGCAGGTTGCAGTGAGCTGAGATCGCGCCATTGCACTCCAGCCTGGGGGACAAGAGTGAAACTTCGTCTCAAGAAAAAATAAAAGATAATTTTTTAGAAGATGGAATGTGTGGATCTCATCTGGATCCTGATTCAAATTTGCAAAAACACTTTTTTGAGATAATCAGGTAAATTTGAACATGGATTAGGTGTTGGATGATATTGAAGCACTACTAATAACTTGTGAGTTCTGGTCATGATACTGTGGTTATATAAGAAAATGTCCTGGCTGGCGTGGTGACTCATGCCTATAATCCCAGCACTTTGGGAGGCTGAGACAGGCGGTTCACCTGAGGTCAGGAGTTCAAGACCAGGCTGGCTAACATGGTGAAACCCCATTTCTACTAAAAACACAAAAAACTAGCTCGGTGTAGTGGTGCGCACCTGCAATCCAGCTACTGGGAGGCTGATGCGGAATAATTGCTTGAACCCAGGAGACAGAGGTTGCAGTGAGCCAAGATCGTGCCATTGCACTCCAGCTTGGGCAACAAGAGTGAAACTCCGTCTCAAAAAAAACAAAAAAGAAAAAAAGAAAATGTCTTTATTTATTGGAGTTTCATTGTGATATAACAGGAGTGGTATGTCATGATATTTGAGATTTGCTTTAAGTAATTCAGCAATAAAAGAAAAAGTGATGTAGAAAGAAAGGGAAGGATGAATCAAAGACGAAAACAGCTTAACACCTGAAATGGATCCAATGAGATCCAAAGTTTCAGCATCAAAATTAGTTTGAATCAGACTATTTTAAGGCAATTTTAATATATTCTTCAGAATCAACAAAATGTATGAGCATAAAGATAGAGAATAACAAGACCAGATGAAACAAGGTAAAAACAAGACCAAATCAGACTGGACAATTGAAAGCAAACTTAAATGGATGAGTCTACACTGAAATAGAAGTAGGCAACTGAGTTAGAAGCCAAATGGATTGAAATGAGCCCAATTCAAATTAGAGAGAAGCAGTGCAATATAGGTCTAAGTAGATGCAAAGAGAACAAATCAGAACTATTTAATTCATAGCTACATCAGATGAACATAAGCCTTGAGAAAGCAGCTGACAGGAATTTGTAACTCTGAAAATATGACTCTCATCAAGAACTCAGGAATATCTAGAATACTTTTGTCCTTGCCAACCTAATAATCAATTTTAGTTTTTAAATAAGTGAATAAAAACATGATGTATGCATGCCTGTAATCCCAGTACTTTGGGAGGCCAAGGCAGACAGATCATCTGAGGTCAGAAGTTCTAGACCAGCCTGACCAACAAGGAGAAATCCCGTCTCTTTAAAAAAAAAAAAAAACATGATATATGATATCCAGTAATCTATAAACATCAGACTGACAGATTTATACCTTAAACCTTAAACATTTCCAACTCCTAGGTCATAGAAGGCATCTCTTACAACTCTCCTCCTTGTTCTCTGTGCTCCAACCACCTTGGCCTCCTTGCTTTTCCTGCAAAGGACTAGGTATGCTCCTGCCTCCAGGGCCTTAGCACTGCTTTCCCCCTGCCTGGAGCAGTTTCCCAACAGACCCACATATCCAACCTCCTTACCTCCTTCAAGCCTTTGCCCAAATGTACTTCCTCATAGAGGCCTACCGTGCTCACACAATTTAAAAGTTCAGCCAGTTGTCTTCATGCCTGGGCCCTTCAGATCTTTCTTAATCTCCTGTACTTATATTTATATATATCTTATATATATATATTTTTTTACCTATGTAGCACTTATTATCCTTTGACATATATAATTTACCTATATATGCTTCTTATTGTATATTGTCAGTCTGCCTATACGAGAATGTAAACTCCATGATAGAAGAAATGCTTAATCATTCTATTCACTAATATGTTTTAAGAGATTTAAAACATTGCTGGCACACTGAATATAGTCAGGAAATACCTGAATGGAAAGATGAAGGAAGAGAACATGTCCTTACCCAACGAGACCAGATTCCCGAGATTTTCCAGCATCACTTCTTTGTACACGTTCCTCTGCTCAAGGCTCAGTCTCTTCCACTCTGCCTCAGTGAAAACCACAGCCACATCCTTGAAAGTCACTGGTCCCTAAATCAACCAATAAATTCATATTCATCAAGTCACTGTTAAGATTCACAGAGAGAATGGAACAGGTGGTCTTGGAGAATGGGCGCAGTGGCTCACACCTGCAATCCCAGCACTTTGGGAGGTCGAGGCGGGAGGTTCTCTTGAGGTCAGGAGTTCAAGACCAGCCTGCCCAATATGGTGAAATGCTGTCTCCACTAGAAATACAAAAATTAGCTGGGCGTAGTGGCACACGCCTGTAGTCCCAGCTACTGGGGAGGCTGAGGCAGGAGAATCACTTGAACCCAGGAGGCAGAGGTTGCAGTGAACCAAGATCATTCCACTGCATTCCAGCGTGGGTGGAAGAGTAAGACTCCATCTTAAAAAGAGAGAGAGAGAGAGAGAGAGAGAGAGAGAGAGGCCAGGTGGGGTGGCTCACGCCTGTAATCCCAGAACTTTGGAAGGCTGAGGCAGGCAGATCATCTAGGTCAGGAGTTCAAGATCAGCCTGACCAACATCATGCAGAAATCCCATCTCTACTAAAAAAATACAAAAAAATTAGCCAGGCATGGGGGTGCATGCCTGTAATCCCAGCTACTCAGGAAGCTGAAGCAGGAGAATCACTTGAACCTGGGAGGTGGAGGTTGCGGTGAGCCAAGATCATGCCATTGCACTCCATCCTGGGTAATAAGAGCAAAACTCCATCTCAAAAAAAAGAAAAAAAGAAATGAATCTGGTACTTGGGAGGCTGAGGTAGGAGGATTGCTTGAGCCCAGGAGTTCAAGACAAGCCTGGGCAACACAGTGAAACCCTGTCTCTTTGAAAAGTAAGCAAAAATTAGCCAGGTATGGTTGTGTGCACCTGCAGTTCCAGCCACTCAGGAGGCTGAGTTAGGAGGATTGCCTGAGCCAGGAGGTCAGGGCTGCAGTGAGCTGAGATCACACCACTGTACCCCAGCCTGGGTAATGAGACCCTGTCTCAAAAAAACCTACACCATGTGCTTTTTCATCTTCAATTCTATTCTCTTCAAAATGAGTATTCAGTGGTGTTTTCTCTTTAGTTACACTTGAAAGGTGGCATTGCCCTCAGATACCAAGGGAGTCACCAATCAACTTACTTCTACTGAATTCAAGCATTATTTGCTCAGTGACCAACTGCTTCAGCCTGTGGGTATTCCATGACACTCCTAACTTGCACTAGTTTTTTTTGTGTTTTGTTTTTTTGAGACAGAGTCTCACTGTCACCCAGGCTGAAGTGCAGTGGCGTGATCTCGGCTCACTGCAGCCTCCGCCTTCTGGGTTCAAGCAATTCTCCTGCCTCAGCCACCCAAATAGCTAGAACCACAGGTGTATGTCACCACACCTGGCTAATATTTTTTTGTTTTTTGTTTTTGTTTTTGTTTTTAGTAGAGATGGGGTTTCACTATGTTGGCCAGGCTAGTCTCCGACTCCTGACCTCAAGTGATCTGCCCGCCTCAGACTTGCCTTAGATTTTTAACCTCACCCTGTGGACTTTGGGGAACATTTGCACATTATTCCCAGCTGCCTCTGATCACCTTGAGTACCTCTTTTCTGACTCAGCCTCTTCCTCCTGTTCTCAGGTATACATCAATCTTCTTGCCCACCTTCTAAGTGGTCCTTGGCACTCTAGGAGTTGGTAATGTATAATTCCAGGTTCTAAAGCTAAACTAATTGAGCTTCTATCAGATCAAAGATGACAGTAGGGGCTGGAGAAGCACACGGCAAAGTTACCAAGCCAGAGTTTCTTAGCATCCTCCCAAGAGCTGGGCTATAAAAGAGATTCACTGAAACCCAGCACCGAAGTGTAGAAGTAGAGAATAATAATGACGCAGAGCTAAGAGTAGGAAACTGTAGATGCTGAAATCCTTGAATGTGTGAGAAGTTTTGGGAGGGATGTCACATCTATAGCCCAGCAGCCCAGGCAGTCAGGCCGCATGGCACAGTGTAGGAGGGAGGACAAAATGTCTAGACAGCAGGTCAGGACCCAGGATTAGGCAGCCAAGGCCTGAACGGGCAGTGATGTGGGCTGCTGTCCCTTACACGCTTTCCATGACCTGCTGCTTCTGGCACATTCTGATTCTCATATTCTCAGCGATCTTTCCCCTTTTCTTTTTATATCCCAGGTCTCATAATTTATCTTGCTCAAGCTTTGTGTCTTTCATGCTTCAGCATTCTCTCCATTTCTCTCTTAACTCCTCTCCCCATCTAGTTCTTCCACTGAAGCATAAAACCGGCTCAGCTACAATGGAAGCTAGGCTTTTTGCACAGTGGATGTAGTAGAAGCCCAGTCTATGGAGTCAGACCACACAAGTCCAAATCCCAGCTTTGCCACTTACACAGTATGTGACCTTGGGAAACTTACATAACCTCTCTGTGTCTTAGTTTCCACATCTATAAAATGGGCTTGATAATGACACCTACTGTCAAAGTCATGAGATTAAATGACTTAATAAAGATAAAGCACTTATATCAATGCCTGACATGTAGTAAACATTTCCTATTACTATTTGCTATAATTAAGCAATAGAATGTTTTCTATTTAAGTGAAAACTGATTTTTAAAATAAGTAAATAATTTTTGGTTCTCAAAAAGTAATCAAACATTCTGTCCAGTACAACAAGGCAAGAAAAGGAAGTAAAAAGCATAGAGACTGTTAAGGATCCCTATTTGCCAAGGACATGGTTTTCTGTGTAGGAAATGCAAAGGAATCTATAAAAATAATTATGTGGTTGGACGTGGTGGCTCATACCTGTAATCCTAGCACTTTGGGAGGCCGAGGTGGGTAGGCTGCCTGAGTTCAGGAGTTCAAGACCAGCCTGGGCAACATGGTGAAACCCCGTCTCTACTAAAAATACAAAAATTAGCTGGGCATGGTGGCGCACGCCTGTAGTCCCAGCTACTCGGGAGGCTGAGGCAGGAGAATTGCCTGAACCCAGGAGGCGGAGGTTGCGGTGAGCCGAGATCGCGCCATTGCACTCCAGCCTGGGTAA